GTAGTAATCTGATGGTGCCATATCTGGAGAATATGGTGGGTGGGGGAGAACTTCCCAACCCAACTCCATAATCTTGTGTTGTGACAAATGGGTCACATGTGGACGTGCATTGTTGTAGAAAAGAACACCTTTCCGATTAATGAGTGAAGGGTGTTTCTGATGAAGGGCTTGATTTAAACATCCCAGTTGCTAGTTATAGATCTCTGCACTGATAGTTCACTGTAGATTGAGGAGTTCAAAATGAATTACTCCTTTGATGTCCCACCAGATGCAAAGCATCACTTTCTGCAGATGGAGTCCAGGTTTTGGGATCAGAAGTGGTTTTTGTCAAGGACTGAGCCATTGTTTTTGGCATTTAATATTTGCATAGAGAATCCATTTTTCATCACAGGTGACAATTCTGTCCAAAAATGGTTCACACACATTATGCGGCAGAAGAGACGAAGCAACGTTCACGCGTTGGAAATGATGATCATCTGAAAGTTTGTGAGGCACCCAAACACCTGCTTTATGGAGTTTTCCCTTAATTATTGGATATTCATGTATTGTTTCATGACAGACATGCAATTTCAGGCACATTTCATGAGTGTGTTGCCTAGAGTTAGACTCAACAAGCGTCTTCAGAGCATCAATGTCAATTCGAATATGTCAGCTCCTGCCATCACAGTTTTGAGGCTAAAGTCACCTGAACGAAATTTGCTGAACCATCGTTGACACTTACGAATGTTCAAAACATTTTCATAAACTTCTTTGATATTCTTTGTGGCTACAGAGGCGTTGCTTCCCCTCTTGTATTCAAACAGAATTACATGCCGAATGCACGTCTCATCGTGTGCCATAACTATAAGGGATTTGAGTATATTAAACTTTACACATTATATAGGCTACACTAAAGTGATGTTTAAGTGGTTCATTTAACTTTTATATGTGATGTACTTTTTGTTTGGGGGGGGTCATGAAAGTGTTCCAAAATGTAGCATTAATTTCTTCATGACCTAATATGACTAATTTGCACCCTATCACAAACTTTGTTTTATGGCTCTAAAGTCTTTTTTCCTCATCTAATTGGAAGGGGTAATATGTTTTTGCCCCCATAAATTGGAACCCTTCTTATATTTTAGTATGCAATAAATATGACTCCCTTAATATAGTTTATATATTTTCACCTCCATGAAAGGGGAAGTCTCCAGCATATTTTCACATGTAGTAGAGATTCCCTTTGACATACAATGATGTTTTTCCTCCATGACAGAAACCTCTAACATATTTTGACATTTTGCCCCCAGTACTTCATTGGCTTATGCTCACTTTTTTTTGTTTGTTTTCTATGATGCAATTGTCCTTAAAGCATTACATTATAACTGCATACATAAACACAACCACACCTGGATCAACTTGAGTGTACAAGTTCCTCATTCATAAAAGCCATTTTCCATCAGTAGAACAGTGTATACAAAAATAAAAATATTCATTGTTCAAGCCAACCTAAATGGGCTGGTTATTTTAGGTGAGAATCTTTTAATATAATAACAAATACTTTTACCCTCCTGTTTTCCTGCAATATGCTTCCATCTTCCTCGTATCTCTCGCAGCTTGGTAACCCATCACCTGTGGTTCTCCGTACAGGCCAACATCCACATACATTTGGCCACTGTCCTGCTGGGGGTGAACCATACCCGGGTCAGCGTGAAGCAAGAAAGGACAAAGCCATATAGGATAAATCTAAATGAGAAAATAGATGGCTGGTATTAAATTCACTCTAACCATGATCAGTAAGTTCAGAAATGATGAAAAATGTCATTGCTTGCATCCACACTAGAGCTCATTTCTCACCTATATACATTAGTTAGATAGACAATTAAATTTTATTTAGGTTTTAGTTTTATATTTTAATTCATTATGTGTTAGTTATGTTTTAAAATGCATAATAGAAAGGTTTTACAATTGTTTTTAAATACAAGTCAAACTGCCTCAGTTTATCAGACTCGGTGTAGTAGATAAATGTTCTGACAGCAGCTAAAGTGTCGGGATAAGTAATAATGCTAAAGGATAAGAAAGGAAAATAAAACATCAAAAAATACACATTTTATGAAAAAGTAAAAACTTGCAATTAAGAATATAAATTAAGAAGATTTTCAAGATTATTTGACACAAAAATTAAAAAGTATGTAAATTTTTTCTATTCTTGATTTTGAACATTTCACTGCACAATATGTTAATGATAATATTTGAAATATTCAGAGCCTGAGTGCAAAAAACTATAATACAAAAATGGCAAATCTTTAATTAACACAATCTCATTCTTTGTGTACAAAATACTTGTAATCTTTAACAAAATCTTACCAACTGTTGTGAAAATATATTAAGAAAGCTCAGAGTCATTGTGAGTATTGTTGAACAAGAGAAGTAGCCAAATGGGTTCAACCCTGTAACCATAAGGTTAATGAAATTAATGCATTATAACTTATTATGATATTCATAAATTATACTGAATTAAATATTGGACATAAGTGGTTGTTTATTGAATGATTTTGAAGTAACAAACTAGTGGAAAGGCAACTAGTCAACACCACTGCCAATTCCAGGTTACTTTAATTAAATAGTGGGATTTGACTGTCACTCTTATAATGCACCAACAGCTCAAAAGAGCAGAGTGATTTTTTTGTAGGTGGTAACAGGTCATGACCACAGATCCACAATTCAGCATGCTAACCAATGGCCGCATTCGCTGGGACTTGGATATAAAGTTCTCCATTTTGTTTTTAAAGAAATTACACTATCAGAAAAAAATTTAGTATCCATTAATAGTGAATCACACCACCATTTTGTTGTTTCAATATTATTTCTCAATTTTTGTACAATGAAAACACTTATTGTAAAGCTAATAACTGTCTGCAAAATTTAGCTGAGTAGTAATTTCCTTTCTGTTGTATTATAAATAACATTTATAGAAATAAGGCACGACTTGATCATAATTAGCTATATTTTACTGAAAGAAAATTATTATTTTGCATTAAAATGTGGCTTAGAAAATAAATATAAATCAACAGAAACTATAAGTGCATTATAAAAATTTAAAATTCAGTAACAAATAATAATATCAACTTCTCAGTATCTATCTGTAGTGAAAGAAATTTACTTCATTCTCTTTTCTGAAAACATGTGGTGCTACGAAATGAATTTTTCAATAAAATGCTGTAATTTATTAAGGTGTGCTCTTATGAATATAAAGAAGATGGATTTAGGAATCCAGTTCACATGTACAAAATTGATGTTTTATAAAATATTCTAGCAATTAAATTACACCATCAGTTGGGTTATCTTTCTGCTAAAATATTACAGTTAAAGTATTACATAATTTAGTTTGACCTTTTACAAACTTACATGGACGATTTATCTAACTTTCTTTGTGTATTTTGTTTTTTTCAAGTAAACTCTTTTCTTGGGAAAATATTATTTCTACATAATTGGAAAGTAGGCAGTTTTAGCTAACAACCATTTAAAAAACTATAATTAAAAATAAAATGCCAGCACAATTTTCACCTGTCAAATATCCTCTATTAATAATAATAAAAAAAGGTACTAAAGGAGTACATTCTGCATGTATTGCTTTAGTACAAGAAGTCTTCACCTTAACTGTGTCATGCAACACACCAATTGCTTCCTTTAGACTGTTCAGAGGGATCATCAAGTCTTGGATAAACTGATGCTCCTCATACAATTTCCGAATGGTTTCTCCTTGGGTCAGCTTTAGCAGAGACACCTTTGGAGGCATCAACCAGCCAAGAAAGTAACGGAAAAGTTGGTTGTTTCCAAATGGGATTATGTACTAAAGAAAGAAAAAATAAATAAATTTTTAATATAACTAAATATTCTTTTCATTCTCTGTAATAACAGATACTTTTGGATTTAAAACATTCTAAAATTACAACTTCATAATTCTAAGTGTTTCATCCAAGATACTAACAACCTTTATTAAAAAAAAATTTCATAAGCAGAAATGTTATGTGAAAGTATAACAGCAAATATAAAATTCTTATATTAGGGATTTCTTTGAACAAATTATTACCTATAAATTATAATCTAATTATAAATAGTTTGAAGAAGAAATTCCAAATGCAAGGAAATAATTCATGCAATGATAAATGTTTCATAAACTAGGCTAAATAACAATATTTCTTAGCAGAATAGTGTTGTGAAATACAATTTTAAGAAGTAAAACTAGAGATCAACTATATAATAATAACTGTTACTATTTCCTCTAGCTTAAATATAACATACTGCATTACTTAAGATACTACAAATATTGTAGGAAAAAACAAAAACACATTAAGATTTGTATAAGTTTAATCTGAATGTCGATGGAAGTTTTAGCAATTGTAGAAATTAAATGTTAAGCAGATTAAAATTTACTGTTTAAACAAGTACCTAACACATAGGGTAGAAGGGGAACATGCCCCAATCCTTTTTCTAATTAGTGTGCAAACACTATTATCAACAATTATGCTTTTTCTCTTGCCATGCCCCTCACTTTCAAACAAAGTTAGGCATTCACATTCAAGTGGTCTGTGAACTTAAAGCCTCACAAAGGATATTTTTTTTGGTTATTGGTTATTTTTGCTTTATAATACTACAACCTGTAGAGAAAGTATTTTATATGTCATCATTATTATTCAATACTGTAAGTATTGTTCTGTTTATTATTAAATATTTAATTTATATAGGTGAGCTAGAGAGTAATGGAAAAAATAACTATTTCTGATGGCAACAACCACCCCTTGTTCATGTTCTTTAGTAATTCAAGTGGGTAACCTAATTGCTGAACACAAAATATATTTCAACAGTTACAAGGAAAACAACTTTCACATTAGTTTTGCCCTGTATTATACTCAAACAATGTCCTAGCACAACTGGTGTTTCACGCTTGTGAGGAGTTTTAAAAACTAGCCAAATTTAGAGTGAAAAATGTCATCCTAGCCACTCGCTACACAAGAGATTAAGTTGTGTGTATTGGGCCCTTAAAACATAGAATTTTTCTAACTCTGAAAGCTATACTGATAAGAAACAGAATAGTAAAATTCTAAAGTTAAAACATTTGTAAGGGATACTACATACACAGTAGTTATCAGGTTTATATAATATTAAATATACTTTACTGTACAGTTAATCTTTTGTACTAAAAATTGTTTGATTGAATCACTTATTTATAATTTAAGTATTAATGGAGTATTTTATGACTGACAAATATTTTGAAAAATGTATGAATATTTTACAATAAATAGTTATTCGGTTTAATTTAGAGTAGTACTCAATGTTTCTTAGTGGCAAACAATTTCAAGTACTTTGGTATAACTTCTTCTTGTAATATGTTCAATATTCATGATGTCACAGGGATTTGTATTTTGACTCACAAGCATCTTTAAACATTTACCATTAAAGATAGTCATTTATTTGAACTAATACACAGTAAAATATGAACAGGACACTATAACAGCAATATTAAACTTAAGTAACACAAGGAACCATTTTAATTTCAAATTTATTTGCAGACCCCCAAACCTATTGGTATTTTTGTTTTGAAAAAAAAAAAAGATACCACGTACATGAAAAGCTGTATTCTAAAATTAAATACAAGTTTTAATTTTATAAAAATATTTTTTAATCTATAAATCACATTTTTAAAAAATATTTTTAGGACATTTTAGACATGACTGGTGAGCCCCAGTTTGAGAAACCTGAGCTATAAAATCTGAAACATGTTCTACAGTGTGCAATTAAATATACAGCCTGGTTATTGCTATCAAACCAGCCACCAGGGAGTGTTGTTCAAATGCTATTATGCTTGCAAAGATAGGGATTTGGTTATCTTAATAACATAAGGTATTCAGTTTGGCTTCAAACTTATAGAAAAACTTAATTATAAAACCAATAATTTGACCACAAACTGTACAATTTAACCACCAATTAAATTTACAGTGTATTAGTGGAACTCATCTGAATGTCTGAGGTACGCTTGCAAATTAGTAGCTATTATTTATTAGAAGTAATAAAAAGTTTATAGTGTTTAGGAAAGTATTATCTGATGTTTCAAATCAATGATAAATAAGTTATCTGTTTACCTGTAGTTGCCAAAATAGGCTTCTTGTGTGTCGATGGAAGTAGTCTTGAAGAGGAATGTACTCTTCACTGGGGCCCTTTCTCAGGAATGTTTCCACATGCTTGTAGAACCAAGGCTTGTAGTAATGTCCTATCTTGTTTATCTGTGAAACCAAAACTATCAGTTTAGCCTATCATATATTATTTCATTCAAAACAGTCACAATTCTAGATTTCATACTAAATAATTTAACCATTACATATTTTGAAAATGAAAACAAAAACATTACTTTCATTATTTCTAATATTAAAATATTGTCTAGTTGTAGATAAATTAGGTAATCACTACAAATAATTCTAATTATGATAAAAATGAAGAAAAAAAAGTCTTTGCATGTATCCTATTTAACATTTCTTATATTCAGGATCAGTAAGTAGGTATATATATATATATATATATATATATATATATATATAC